TAAATGTATTTATCTAAAATTATACTATCGCCAATAATGTTTGAAATGTTTAGGTTATTGTTAATACGCATGTATTTCTGTAATATGCAAACTTAAGACTTGAGCACTGGCTTTTGTTAGCAGAAATACCGTTTTCCACGAAACGTTATGCAGATATACCTATACATGCTTGTTTGGCATGCATGTTTAAGTGGTTTATAAAACGCTACAAAACTGGAAATGTTAAAGGTATAATAAGTATTTCATCCTGGCATTTAAGTCAGGTTATCCATCATTATTATAATTACCGAGAAACATGTGAGTGAAATAGATGACTGGTAGGTAATTTTGAAAGGATGTATTTGATGCAGTCATGTTATCACGTTGCTTAGGTTAATGTGAGAAATTGGTTTGTATGCACAGTAACTGATTAGTACACATGATAACATAAAACAGTTGATTAATCTCTAGGATAACTTTATCTGTTTATTTCGTACAATATCTATTATGAATCGATATCATGAAAATCGTACATTTGTTACTTATTGTTCACAACAGTAGTAAATATTTCGTACGACTGATTTTAATGCAATGAAATTAATTTATTACACTTACTAGTAAACTTATTTTTCTTCTTGCAAATGATATCCAGTTAACTAACATTGCAAAATTTAATGTATTTTATCGCATTAAAACTTGTCTAAACTGATATTCATTCTGATTTATGGCAAAAACTGAGAAATTCATCTGTAATAATTCGCCTTTTAAAATATGATGATATGACAAAAGATTATGTGTAAAGGCAATTTTTCTGATAGTCTTCAATATTCTCGAAGAAAAGTTATTCTATATTCGATCATGTTCACAAAATTTGCTTTAAAAGGAGGGTACATACAGAGTTACTTGAAAATCGAACAAATGTTTTGCATTTTTACAAAAAGTTTTTGGTTTTTGAAATCATAAATAATTTTTTTTGTTTATTTTGGAGTGTACTATTAAGTTATAAATTATGAACCATAAAGAACTTCAATTATTCTTGGAATGCATAGCCGAATTTAATCCCTTTTGTAGACGAAGAACATTTTGTAGCTTGGAACATTTTTAAAGAACATTTGAGTTTTAAAAGGTAAACTTTTAAAGATTAAATTATAAAATTCGAATAAAAATTCCCCGTATTTGAGTAATGAATTCAAAATCTTCTGCTTATATTTGAAATTCTAAAGAATTTTTAGAATAACAATTTATTAACAAAATTATAACTCTAACGAGAAATCATTTGAAACTAATCTTTGTTTGAGTATCTTAAACGCGATCTTAAGGGATAAATAAATATTTGTTTAATTCAAAGAGAGAAAGAAAGATTCGCCCAATCCAATCTACAAACTTAAATTTTTCTCACTCCATCTCGAACAGGAGGAATTGTATACGTTTGTTGTTCACCTCTTGATTCGTCGCAAGAACGATAAAAGAGAAATATCCAAAATATATTTCTAATAAAGAATAAAAATGAAGTAGAATTTCTTTCAACTGGGTAAATATTCTGAAACATGAAAAAAATTTCCTGTAAATCGTTTTTCTTAACTCAAACTATTCAGCAACTTTAAAAAAGGAATTTTAAAAGTGTAATAACGCCCATTGATGTTTTATTGTTAACATAATGAGCTAAGTTTAACTTAGGAATGAAATAGTGAATTTTTTGGGTTAAAATTCTTCCGTTTAGGTTGCTGTGTATCAGAAATCCATTAATAAAGATCAGTGATTATTTATTAATGTAAATATATAATTAGATTTTCTTTTGCTCAAACAGTTTTTTTGATAATTTATTTCTCTATAGTCAAGGGGAAATAGATAAGAAGGTTTGTAATTTTAATTCACAACGAAAAAAAAAACTGAACCAACAGTATAAAAAATTTAGCTTCATTTGCAAGTTCTTCAGTGTCTTCTTGATATTTAATATTTTCAACATGATTTTGTCATTGATTGTAAATGTTTGCTTACATAAAATAGGAAAATAAGACAGCTGGATCAAATTATATCTTGAATTGACAAGAGAAGAGATGTTGTAATATCATAAGGCACAATATATACTTGAAATCATTTAGAAAAAGAAATAAAAATCCCTTAGGCGACATTTAATTTTTAAAGACAGAAAAAGCATCAACCATAAAGTAAGTAATAAGAGGGAAGTTTTGTATACTTATCATGAAGTAGAAGGTTAATTTATGTGTTGGAAAAAAGTGAAAAAAAAGAGGTTGATTTTTGTAAAGAAAAATATTAAGCTATTTAAATCGAATCTCACATAAAATACAGAAAAGGAAATTTTAAAATGAATGAATTCTATTCTGGTTCTTAATGTCTCTATAGAAAACTTAACTCACGAATTGTATCCCAAGTATTTTTTCTAAATTTTCCTTTAAATAAAATGTGTATTTAATATTAAATTTGCGTGTATTAAATAGCGAATCATATAAAGAAACATAAATGAAAAGTTTAATTTGAGTTTTGCTCTTGAGCTACTTTATTTTCTGTCGAAACTGCTCTTAAAAGAATTGCTTCCCTAAAAGCGAAAACACTTTGTTCTATTTATGGATAATATGTATCTGAAAGTCGTTATAAATCGCATAATTAAAGAATAACACTCAAGATGCATTCCAGCAGGGAAGGAAATTGCTTTAAGCTCCTATGTTGGTCATTTAGTGAGAAAATTAATTGTGCCACGGGAAGGATTAAACATGACTAATAACTTATTAGAATAAGACGTGATTCCTCCTAAATTATTAACATATGATATAAACATAAGAAGAATCACTTTTAACGCATTCTATTAAAATAAACTACAGTTATAAATCTTTTTATTCTTAAAAGTTAAGCATTTAATTCTTTTTAATTCTACAGTGAATTTTAAAGAACAAAATGTCTCAATTTTCATCAAAACTTTCTAAAATTTATAGAAAACTTTTCTAAAAAGAACTTTAAACATTATCTTCCACGACTTTATTCAAATTTGATTTTTTTTTTAAAATAATCTTTTTCCACGTTAGTGTCAGTATAAGGGGAGATTTACTGGTTTTTCTAAATGTCTTAGGGACCCGTCAAGAGCCTAGTATTTAAAGAAGATAAGATTTTTAAAATTTATAAAAATGAAATCTGTATTTTAAATGTGTGTTTCGAAAAAAGAACAAAAAAACAAAACAAAAACCCCTCAACGATAGTGTGTTGGATAACTTTCCTCAAATGTTCGCTCCCGATTTTCTAATCTTATGATATTTTGTTTAATGTTACATGAGCTTGATGGTTTTGCATTTAACTATCTGATTTTTATCTAACTACCTAATTAATCCATCACATCACCCAGAAAATTTAAATTTCCTGAGATTGCAACAAAAGATTTTAAAAGTGTTTCCCTTTTTTCATTTAAATACCATTGTTACAAAACTCTTTCTTTTTTTCTTGTGATAATCACTAAATATATTGCATTTTCATAAAAGTGATTTTATATTTATTTTTAAAAATAAATTTCATTTCTATATTAACTAGGTACTTTCTTCCGTTTGAGTGTTTTGCTTTTTTCAAATCTTAACAGTTAAAAGTGAAATTTAACTGTGTGTGTTTGTGTTTTAGAACTTCTTAATAAAAATACGATATTACTAATAAAAAAAAATTAAGATTTGTGTTTGAAAAATCACGCATGATAAAAATACTGTTTAGATATAGAATAGGTGTCTGAAGGTTACGCGATTTTCTTAATCTCCACACTTTTATCTTCCTTGATACCATGGGTATGGAAATATTGCTTTTTTTCCCCTATTGCAGTAAGAAGTGGAAATAAACTAGAGTAGGAAAAAAATCATGATTTGAGAATACAGACAGAGAGAGGGGAAGCGTGGAGTTTGGGGTAATACTATATACTACTTACGAAGAATATAATTAATAAAGAGGAACGTTTAAGTTTTGCTTATAAGAATGTAAGAAGAATGTTAATAAGAAGATTCATTCGTGTAAAACTATAATTAAAATAAAACTTTCTAGTCGCTAATAATACTTAAGAAGTTATTCCATTTTCTTTAGAACAAATATAGAAATTATAAGCATTTCAATTGGTAAAATGTTATTTTTTTATTAACTGCATAGTTTAGATAATAACATTAAGTGTATTTTTATGTCTACTTAATGTTCTAGTATTTTGTGTAAACGTCAAAAGAGTTGAACTAATTTTAATATATCTTGCAGTTTTAAACAGTCTTAAAACTTATCTTTATATAAGAATGTCTAATAGTTACAAAGAGTACCTACTCATAATTATTTTTCTCTTGTAATTCAGAGTACTACATTACTGTTGTTAAAAATTGCACTGGCACGTGTTTAAATATTTCTAATATAGATAGTTTAAGATTATAAGGTTCGTAAAATACGTTAGAATTTTTTTTTTTTTAAAAAAACTGTTTTCAAGCTAACTGTCTCTACAAAATAAGTAATTTTTTTAGTAGAAAATTTTTACCTTCTCTTTTTTCTCTATAATTTCAATATTGACTTACTACTTCGAGTTAAAAATGATTAACAACTAAATTGATAGAAAGTAATGTTTTTAAAATGGGAATTTCACAGTTAGTTTAATAAATACGTTGTCAGTAACAAATTTTTTTTATAGATGAAGACAGGCTTCTTACCCATTAAATTTTATATTTTGTACCCTTTTTTTCATTTTAAAAACAAAGCGTACAAAAGCTTTATTTAAATTTGAGGTTCGAATCATTTTTTAAAAAATTATTTAGCATGTTTTAACTATTTTATTTTTCTTAATATAAAGTATTTTCTTTACAGCAATCTTGTACACTGAAACCGTAAGAGATATTAAAATGTGCGCAATTCCTTTTTCAATAATTGTTTTAAATAATTCCAAATTAAACTAAAAATCGTTTTTTACGCTTTACAGATCAGCAATAGTTAACAATTCTTGCTCAACAGTTTATTTTAGTTTAAAGGTTCTGGAACAATGATGAGATAAATGATGCAATACGCACCGGACTCAGAAAAGCCAGTTGATTGATGATTTGTGTCGTTGAAAAGGATTTCCCACTGCCACTCTGACCAAACGTAATGATTACCTAGAGTGCAAAAATAAACCGTAAAGGTTTATTCTGTTTAAATGGAATGCATAATTTAAACTAATGACAAACTTTCGTACTTGAGATCTCTTATGATGCAGCATTTGTTGGTACGCCCTGTCTGCAATTGCGAACACATGCGGTGGATTATCGGATCGGGCCTTTTCCCAATACTGCGTCTGAATCTGAAAGATAGTTGTATTATTAACCATAACAGACATATTCTTACTAATGCTATTATTCAGTTAATGCGTAAAGAAGGTTTTCCGTTCCAGACGATATTAAAAGTAACTGTATTATTTGATTTGATTTTCTTGGATCAACAACATAATATTTAATTTTAGCATTTATTAATCATATCTTTAAAAATATTTAATGTGATTTAATGATAATATGTAAACGTTTACTTGATATATGATGTCCGTGAATCCAGCAAAGAGCTTAGAACTCTTCAACAATGTCCGAATTTAGTTAAATAAATTATACATTAATACTTTAAAATGACTCTAAAGTACAACAAATTATAAATATTATTAGCATTTATTGAAATTAGTGGCTGGAATAGAACGAGTTAGAAAACTACTTATTCTAGGACGCAATTTTAATGGTTTCAGGGGGTGACTGCAAATTTGCTAATTAGTGCAGACGATATTTTAAGTTAAGAAATCAGACACAAAAACGTATTTTCTCTGAATAAACATACCTTTTTTTACGGATTCAGATTTAGTACTCCCGATATATAGGTGGTAACCACGATCTGGGAAATATAGTTCCATCAGTTTGGTCAGGAGAGCTGTCCAAAGTTTAGAACCCTTAATATCAATTATACTCTTTGTTTATATAACTATATATCGTGAACTATAAGCGAATCGAAAAATGTTTGCTCGAAATTATAAAATTCATTTCTCCGAAGAAAATTTCATGCAAAAAAATTTATTATTTTTTATCACTTTGTTTAATAATATTCAAAAAGATTTGAACAGTAAGATATACAATTTTTAGATAATTTTAAAGAATGTTATTGTGTATGATAAATGACAAAGTTTGAAGTAAATCGGTTGATTCGTTCTTGTAAAATCAAACTTGGAATGTACCAATTTTTTAAAATTTGATAAGTCAGTAACTATTTGACCAATTATCTCATATTTTGTACTTTGCTATTTTATAAAGCATATTTTATTTAATATAAAATAGTATACCTCACAGTCAAATTTTTTCGACTGTTACTAAATTGAATATTAAAAAATAATAAATAATTATAAAAAATTATTTTCTGTATTGAATTATCTTTAAATAAGTGAATTTTATAATTGTGTGTAAAATGAAATTAACATTAAGGGGTCCATACTTTAGATCACTCTCCTGACCTGAGCTATTGGGACCATATTTCCCAGATTGCGGCTACCCCTTCAATTTTGGAGGTCTGAAATCTGAATCCCTCGAAAAAAAGGCATGTTTATGTAAAGCTATGTTATTCAGAGAAAGTACATTTTCGAGTCTGATTTCGTTAGATAAAATATCGTATTCATTATTTAATTAGCACATTTGAGGTTAATAATTAAGATTGAGTCTAGAATATGAAGATCCAGCCGTTAGATCAAAAGTTACTCAGGGTGGTTCGTTTTGCGCACTGTGCATTAAATGGTTAAAGTAAATTTACTATCAAATGAAAATTTCACATGAATTACATGGTTTGTAGGGAAAGTAATTTCGATTTAAAATCATGTATTGACTCGATGGCTAAAACATATCAATAAGTTTTACATCCCCCCCCACCCCGCGTATGTCAATCGCTTCTATTGAAGGACTTTTTGGAATGTTTTTTGATTAGAGTAGTTTTCATTAGCAAAAAAATGTACATTAGCGAAAGAAAAAGGAAACTATTTTTTGACAAGAATCAGTGAAGCGTTCCATATTTCCCATAAATTTGAATCATACAGAAGCTGTTTATTAAGCGCCCTCAAACCACTAAGAATCACTTTATGTGCTATATTTGAAATATAGATAGACATGGCTGAATTAGTACATTTTAATCACAAAAGAAGTATCAATTATAATATTTTAATAACAAAGAGGAAGTTAATAAGTACCTCATTATCATAGAGATGATGTTAATAAGTATCTTCGAATCATTCATGGGTAGCTTAATTAGTATAATAAAATCACAAAGAGGGTTTAGTTAGAAAATTTTCAATCGTAGAGAGAACGTTACTAAGTACCTTTGAATCTTTCATAGGTAGCTTAATTAGTATAATGAAATCACGAAGAGAGTTTAGTTAGAAGATTTTCAATCATAGGGAGGACGTTACTAAGTACCTTTAAATCATTCATAGGTAGTTTAATTAGTATAATAAAATCACGAAGAGAGTTTAGTTAGAAGATTTTCAATCATAGGGATGACGTTACAAAGTACCTTTGAATAATTCATAGGTAGATTAATTAATATAATGAAATCATGAAGAGAGTCTAGTTAGAAGATTTTCAATAGTAGAGAGAACGTTACAAAGTACCTTTGAATCATTCATTGGTAGATTAATTAGTATAATAAAATCACGAAGAGAGTCTAGTTAGAAGATTTTCAATCGTAGAAAGAACGTTACAAAGTACCTTTGAGTCATTCATAGGAAGCTTAAATGTATGATGAAATGAAGAAGAGAGTCCAGTTAGAAGATTTTCAATCATAGAGAAGACGTTACTAAGTACCTTTGAATCATTTATAGGTAGCTTAATTAACAAATAAAATCACGAAGAGAGTTTAGTTAGAAAACTTTCAATCGTAGAGAGAACATTACAAAGTACCTTTGAATTATTCATAGGAAGCTTAATTAGTATAATGAAATCACGAAGAGAGCTTAGTTAGAAGATTTTCAATTATAGAGAGAACGTTACTAAGTACCTTTGAATTATTCATAGGTAGCTTAATTAGTATAATAAAATCACGAAATGAGTTTAGTTAGAAAATTTTTAATGCTAGAGAGAACGTTACTAAGTACCTTTGAATAGGTAGCTTATTAGTATAATAAAATCACGAAGAGAGTTTAGTTAGAAGATAGAGAGAACGTTACAAAATACCTTTGAATTATTCATAGGTAGCTAAAGTAGTACATTGAAATCACACAAAGAGAATTTATTTAATAGATTTTCAACCATATCAATGATAGAGATGAAGTTAATAAGTACCTTTGAATCATAGAGAGGTAATTTCTTTCTTGGATTTACGGCAATAAGAATATCACCTATGAAAGTGTAAATATTGTCCTGCATAAACCTCCCATGCAAATAATCTACAACGGATTCCTAGTTAAGAAAACACTTAAGATAAAGAAAAAGAAGAAAAAAAAGAATATTTTGATTTCATTATTATTTTTTTTAGAATTATAAAATGAGATATTTGCAAACCTCTGCTAGATTATCGTTTGCCGCTAGATCATCGGGTAAGAGTTTGACGTAACTGGTATCGGCGTCACTCTTGAAATGCCAATTCTTTACCGTCATTGATATCGGTTTAGATATAGGTGCTGGCGTCAGATTTTGTTTCACACTATCTCCAAGGGATTTAAGTACCTGAAAAATACATGGTAATACTTTTAAAATTTGAACCATAATTCACTGCATAATAAACCAGAATAGAGCCGGGATAGTCTGGTCGGTAGGGCACTGGGCCTCTGTCCGACCCGCCGGCCGAAGACTCCCCTTGTAGTAAAGTGACTGATGCTCGTTAAATCTGTCGCAAAAATTCTCCATTCTTAACAAATCAAAACCTCTGGGGTACTGGATTGGACGAAATTACGGTCAAATTACGGGGAAATTACGGTTCAGGTCAAAATTGCGATCTGTGGATGAATGTATGGATGTATGAATGGGTTCGCCCTATAAACGGGTGCGACGTATGGTGCGGGAGAAGTCGAATTCTTGACCATAGATGGCGCCACTGAAAAACAAAAAACGCACACTCTGCCTTAAATTTGCTCGGTTTCACCAAGCAGGCTTGCCCGTGTGGCAAGTGACATTAGAAACAACAAATAAGCCAGAACAGAGATCTGGCATTTAATGAATCAGATAGATTTTTAACTTCAGTGCCAAAAACAACTTTCCCTTTGTTAAGCTTTAAATAATACTTTGCAATCGGGATATTTATGGGATGGTATTCCAAAGTGGAAAAAGAAATATCAATTTATCTTTTCCATTTTTGCTGAATACTTTGCATATTATTTGATTTCGATTAGACATGAGTAAAATGCTTTCCTTTTTCTTGGCATCATTTTATGCTATACTAGTTGAATACCCATTCTCCTTACAGTGGGAAAAGAAGAAAGTAGACAATAAAATGGAATGAATCAAATTGACAAAAAACAACGACTATCGAACAAATGCAATTAAATTCGATACAAAATCATTGAGTTGATGGCGCATCAAAATTAATAAATATATTTACACAAAAAACTGTTAGATATTTAGATTATGAGTCCTTTTCTAATCTGTTGTAACTTGTAACCAAGTATTAAAATTATATCCGAACTTTATTTTAAATAGTTGGAAATTTTATACTTCAGCAACACTCTCCTCTGTTATTCCATTAAATAAAAAACAGTATTTAATTAATAATGATAATTTCTTTAAAATCATTGAGTTAGAAGGTTTTATTTAAGATTCTTATTTAAGATTAATTTTAATTCTTTTATTAATAGTCTTTTATTAGTTTTAAATTTTGAATTATACTGTATAATATATCCTTACCATGTTCCAGTTTTCGCTTTAATCCAAGGTAACGGAAAAATCAAATGCTGTTTCTTAACTTTAATATGAATGCGTGTTGAATGCGTGTTTTCACTTGAAAGTTAAAGTTTTCTAAGGGTACATTTAAGATTTTTAAAATGGTTTTCCGAACGTTTACGATTTCGTAGCTTGATAGTAGAAACAGAATAATTTCATATTTTGTAATCTTTGATTTTAATCGGTAATAATAATTTTTAATTTAATTAACAATATTTCTTGAACTTTATATTTTGTACTCTGACAACATGTTTTTGAAAACAGCTTATGATTATTTCTGATTATTTGTGTTATTCATAAGAACATTACATTTCTTTCACTTATCGCTTTATATGTTTCTTTTTGTGTTTTATTTTGAATTTTCTCTAGAATTTTTGCGTCATTTTTACTTGATTAAATTAAATTATAAACGAATTATTCTAATTTTCTTGGTGTTTTCACACTATTATATTGATATATTTAGTTCTGGATCTATTTTTGAAATTTTAAACAAAAAACTATTTTTGCGGTTACAATCATGTGAGTTTAGGAAGTAATTATATATTTTCGCTGCTTGTTTTTCTAATTTCTAATTAGTTTATATACAATATATTTTCAGATTTTAATAATTAATTTTCTTCGTTTATTTAAATTCCTTTTTTTAACAGTTTATTTGTTTTCTTTTCCTGTTTTTCTGTGTGGTTTAATTGCCTTTATCTTGTATAAATATCTGGATTATTGGAACAAGAAACTCTCTTGTGCACACATAGATGGCAGTGGTGTGCAACAGAAAAAAAATCTAGCACTCTCTATTTTTCACCCTGGATGGCACCACTAGACCAACTAATTAAGCCACAATACACGGCCCCGTATAATTAAGCCACAGTAACTTATAGAGCCCCAATTCACTATGTCAAGTCACTGAAATGTGCTAGGATGCATTGGTAACATCAAAAACACTGCCACGGCTGACCCAACAATCGCTCTGCTTACTGGAAGAGGAGTATTGTGGTAAACACCTTTGAATCCACCTAGCTTCTTAAAGCGGTCTTTATACATTAACTGAGAGAGCTAAGCTGTCAATCACGTGATCCGATTGAACGGGGGTTCGAATCCCAGCATGAACACAATATTTTTTCCATTCTTTCAACGCTCAATCATCTCGGTAGTAAACTCAAAAGAACATTATAATAACGTGTACGTGATCAGGCTTAGGTTTCAAGATTGTGGGAGCTCTGATCTTCCAAAATACAGCTTGAACTGAACCCTGAACGATAACACTATCTTACGTCACAGCATTCAAGCGTTTTTCAACCAACCTTCTTCAAAGCATCGATCATAACTTTATATTATTTGAGCATTAGATGTAAGTTATTGAAAAAAAAAATTGTTCCAAAGTAACTATTACGCTTAATGGCGGCCTTTTTCTATTACGTACCGTTAAGTCACACATAGAGAAATGAAAACATTTGGTAAAGAAAAATTTCAACTGAAAAGTAAATTTTAAAGGCATTAAAAGTACTCTCACGGGGATTATTGCAAAGAGATTTTTAAACTTCACATGTGAAGGGGTCACATATGGCATTTATTTCTGATAAAATTCTCGAAAAGTTCTGAAAACTTATTCTCTTTTCCGGACTTATCAAACTTATGTTCTACAACAGCATTTTCGGTAAAAACAATTCCACTTCTGGAATTTTGAGAGAATTGGGAGGAGAGGTGGAGGAGGGAGTCAAATGATTTCGATTTGACGAGCTCTTCTTCTGTAAAATACAGTGTATTGATTCATTTTATTTCTCGGGGGCATTGTTGACCATCTGGATTCAATAAAGTCTTCTTCTGATGCCCTCGGGTTACTCCACTGCCAGAGAGTCGATATTTGGGGAAAAATTACCTCATGCGTTTGAGTTGTATGAGGAATCCGATCAGAAATAAGATTTTTTGAATTGGAGTTTTCTGTAAGAAATATGATTTTCCCCCAAAAGCAGATTCTTCTGAAGTTCTTTTTTTTCAAACTACAAAATATCTGAGATTCAGAAAGATTTGTTTCTAATTAAGGAAACAACATTCCAACTTTGCATGATCATTATATAGAGAATTTATTGCATTAAAGTATTTCTATTTAGTGCGATTGAACTTTTCAAAAATGTATTATTTTCAAGATCGATTTCAGAAATTTTTTTTAAATTTCCTTCGTTTGGATAATAAGTAAATCACAATAATTTTAATCTATCCACTGAATTGAATTTGATTGAAAATATGATAGTTAAGATATTCTATTTGGAATCGATGTCACAAAATCTTTATAAAGAATATATGTAGTTAAATATAAAAATATGTGATAAACTTTTAAATTTTTATTAACCATATTTTATTTTAAAAATGTGCACTAAAGCGTATAGAGCTTCATTTTTGTTTGTTTTTAAGTCTGGCTATTCTTGAGAATGGTTGCCTTTTTTGCAGTGTTTGTAACTAGTGTACTTCTACCATTTTCATATTTTTTTTGAAGCAAATAAAGTTTTATAATATATAGTATACATATTTTCACTTCAGTTTACTTGAATACTTTATTTGATTTTAAGAGTTTTTGTTCGTTATGTAGTTAGTTCGAGTACCAATCAAGCAGTAGTAGTTTTATATACTAAAAATATGGAAAGTTAGAGTATGTTTGAAGCTAATCCTGTTTGGTTCTTTTGTTTACAGAATGCTTTGACCTATCTTCTGTTTGTGACCGATGGGTTCTTGTTGCATACCAGAAAGCTTTGATGACTATTTAGTTAAGGTTCTATATTCTTAGAGTGGTTTTTCTTGTTTCATATTTCCTTTTTTGTATGCAGAGCGTGATTGGTTTCTTAGACTTGAAAAGAATGTTGGAAGTACTGGTCAGGGCCTAACCATCTCTTTGTCAAGGCCACTTGGTATTTTACTCAGGGTTTCCTCGTAAAGGAAAGTGCGCTGAATTGAAGTTATGAATCATTAACCATTCTAAAACTGGGCACCCTGAGCTCAGACGACGAAACAACGACGTTGTGGTAATGATCTCTTTTAGTATTGAGCATGAAATTGTATCGAGTGGGTAATAGAAGATACAAGTAAAACTAAAAGAAGTTCATTATTAAACAAAACAAAATCAAATTAAAAAGCTATAAATTCAATCTGAAAGGTTTAATCATTTCACACTATGACTATGCCCTCCTTTCAGTCAATGACATCACATTTTATTCTTATGTCAGCAATCCTTCAGTAAATGAAATATATTCCAACTTCATTTGACAACTTCAATTCCAAAATTTTCCCGTATAGAGCACTTTACAATTTAATTCCGCTTAAAAGGCAACTCTGGAGTTATCACGGGAAAATTTTGACTGTGGGTCTCATGGATTTGCACTTATTTTGTTGCTGTTTTGTTTGAGTTAGTATCTAAATCTTTTGTTGGGTAACACGTTTTTTGGTATGATTGTTTTTAACGGCAAGAGAGTTGATAATGAAGCAATAAAAGAACAAATAGAAGGATAAAAACAAAAAAATTATATTTGGCGCATCCTCGCCACAAAATATCTCACGGTGATCGAAGTTCCACGAAGATCTCGACAGTAGAGAAAGTGGTGGCCATAACAGAAGGAGAACAACGTGGCTCTAATGCGAGGTCACTACGTTGTAGATATGCAGATAAACAGTCTTGTTTTGTGAAAATGTCGGAGATATTTTGTGTTGGAACCGTGCCCCAGCTTCATAGCGTAACCAGTCTGGGATTGTGCTTGGTTTAATATTTTACAAAAAGCTTCAGATCTCTCAGCTATCGAAATGTTTCT